CAACTCTGTCCCCACATCGGGTTCCAAAGAGCCCACTGAAGTCAAAGTTTTTAGTTGTTTTAGTTATTGTAAATTCAGCTGAATTGCTTACTTTAGTGAAGGGAAAATCAATATGAGAGATAAGTCAAATAAGACATAAAATTCCTGGCCTTCTAAAGTCTTTCAATCCAGCAGAGTAAAAAACACATGTATGCAAACAAACATCAAACAACCAAAAAACAGAAATGGTATAAAACACAGGTACGACAGCTGTGGTAGATGAATTTTATTGCAGATAAATCAGAGTAAAATTTCAGGAAAGGGGCAGCACCTGACAGGAGATGGAAGATCAAGGCACTACCAAGTTTTACAAAGATTTTGTCCACATATTGCCCAAATCTTTTCTTTAGATAACCAGATCTACTCGGTGACAATTACTGCATAAGAAAAAAAAATTTACAGTGACTTAACTTTAATACAAGTATTTTGCCACTGAAATGTAACACTCGGATGTTTTTAAAAATTTATAAGATAGATTTTAAGCTGAAATTTACAGTTATCTATAAAGCACCATTAAAGCAGCAGTATATAATGAAATGAACACTGAATGGAAAGGCTGAGTTTTAGTCTGTCTCCAATATTAAGTGTCGTAGCTGGAAAATTCACTATGCCTATTTATTCATCTCTAACCTGGTGATTAAAAGAAGGTATCCTGACAAACTCAAAAATATTTAAGGGACCATTATTACTAATACTAAAGTAGACGCTGCCTTCCCCTGTCAATAGTTAGAATGATATGCTTAAAGGTTTAGATAGCTTTAATTGGAAAATTAATCACCATTTTAAGTTCCTTGGAAAATATCTGAACTGTTTTCAAAGGGGGAAATGACTAGAAACATTAAAAATACAGTATTTGTATCTATAAACATTATAGATATAGTATCACTGACATCTTACCCTTTTTGCTAATATGGAGATATCTGCAAATGACTACAATACATACAAATAACATTCGGATTAATTACAAATGAGTATAGCTTTCTGAAACATAGTTTAGAATTTTTGCTGTATAAAAACTAACTACTGAGACTTATCAGTGAAACTCGATTTATACTAGTTCAAGAACAGAATTCCTAATCTTAGATAAGAAAACAGAAGAGGAATTTTTCTAAGGTTCAGGATTTGCTTGTGAGCATTAAAAAATCGGACATCATTATCTGTTTTGGGTATATAATGTAGCTACTTTGAGGAATGAAAGTTTAAGCACAGTACATACTTACAGATACTAGAATGAATGTGCCCCAAATACAAGAAAATAGGTAGAATGCACTAAGCTGACCGGATTCATTAAACTTGCTGTGTTTCGTTTTGGAGAAGTGCATTCGCCTGTTAATTTTCTAAAAATAAAAACAAATAAGTAAGATTATAAAATATATTTAAGATATGACTATCACAGTATAGCGAGCCAGTATTTTACAAAGTATAGATTTCTAAGATGGTATACTTACATCCAACACATACTCTTGAATTATGGCATGAATAATTATCGCCACTAGCATGTAGAAGAAAACTGTAGCCAAATCTTTGATACCATAGTAATAAAGGGACGCTGATTCAGTAGCTTGTTCTTCTGAAGGCCAAAAAGGACAGGACACACATACACAAAAATATACATGAGATTATAAAACAGCACTAAGTACAACATAGTTATGGAAACAAGCAAAAGGTGACTAACCTAATCAATAAGTACTACAGAAACATCGTGGTCATTTGCGTTTGGACATCTTAAGTCATGGGAGCAACGAAAACTGAGGAGCTATCTAGAAATCGAAAGCTTCGGAAACTACAAAGACTTGACACATGTTAGTCACAGCCATCGAAATCAAAAAACAGGGGAGGAGTGGCCACACTCAGGTCCTGGGGAAAACTGTTAAACTAGTATCACCCTGGGGTATAGCAGGTTATACTTAGTTTATACCAAAGTTACACTGAGCCCATTTGCCTGTCTTTTCAAGGACCTTTTGCAACTTTCTACTTTTTACCTCTACTTTCACACTAGACACACTATGATTCTGAAGGAAAAACTGATTTAACCTATATTTGATTTAGTTTTGATCTATAAGCAGTAGAGATAACTGCTACTTGAAATTGTTTTTAATCCTCGAAATTGCCATAATTGTTCAGAAAAAATCTTAATCAAATACTTGGGAACTGGTAAAAGTGCTACATTCTTCTCTGGCATATTCGAATTTCAAAATAATTGTGGTATTCAGTAATCTGATATCTAAGTCACTAAATCAAATATTTATAAAACTATATAACTCAACAAAAACCAACTACTATTAAATAACCGATCTTACCTTTTAAATAGAGAGATTCAGGGCAAGTTTACTACCTAAATATGTTAATATTTCATTAACTGGATATTCCCATCTGTCACCCACGCCAGTTAATTATATTACTGTCTTCGATTACAGTCAACTTCCAGTAACAACTTGATTTTCATAACGCAAAACAGAGAAAAGTCTTGTGAAATAAAATCTAAAAGTGTAGTTTGGGTACTATTAACAAATAACCACTACAGCTTCCTGACATTCTCTGTAATTGAAATAATATTATAGGTAAAGCACAACAAAAAAACAAAAATAAAATTGGCTTAAAAGGATTGTTATTACAGATCCAAAACTCAGAGGTCAGAATAAACCAAACCTAAACATTGTGCCTTGATTGAACGATGACACTTTAAACAAATGTAAAATATCTATGCTTAGAATTTTCTTAAAAAAAGTTCTTCGACGTAATTTCAAGCCCACTTATGAAAATATACAACATTAAACACATACAAACTGATTTTCATATAACATACAAGGTGAAGCCAACCGAAACATCAGATCATGCATTACAAAATCATCAAAATAATGTCCAGTCTTATCATGAGATTTGTGAAAATTAATGAAGAACCTAGTTTTCGTGGACATTTCCTAGTTTGTCCAAATGAACTTTTCTACGTGAAGGGACAGCGCCTACCTGCTGCAGGGCGGGTAACATTGTACTGAAGGGTCACAAAAACGACAGCAGCTTTTGCCGTTATCTAGAAGGAAAAGAAAAGATCGAATAAATTCGTGATCTCCTGAACAGTATATCAGGGAAGTACTACAAGGTTTGTCCCCAAATCTAAGAACCTCACAGGCACCAACGGAATTCCTGACTGCCAACGAGTCGAGCCTGAGCATTTACAAAATTCACAGTTTAGATGAGATTGTGCAATTCATTCCTAACTTTAAGACTTCAAAAGAGGCTCTCTGCAGTTCCAGTAAACAGTGATTTGGCAGATAATGCTTCTCTGCTCTAGACTTGTACAATAAACACACAGTTTCTAGCAAGAAACAATTTTAATGTAAGTTAATAAAAGGAAACACAGTTACTATGACAAAAATGGATCAAAGGTAGGGTCTGTGGTGTGTGCGTGTTCTCCCACACACCTGGCATACTAAGTGGTCAATAAACATTTAACTGCTCTAACTACTGGTAAAAGTGGTCAAACAGAAAAAATAGAATGCGTACTGAATATTTATAAGTACCAGGCAGTGTGCTAGACAGGAAAGGGTAACGATGATGAATGTATAATCCCTGATGACTGGGAGCTTCGCTGGGCCAGGAAGACACTGCAGAAGCAGTGCCAATGGGTACCCAGGATCGACAACAAACTTTTTTGTTTATTGTTTTTTCCTAGGTGTGGAATGAGGCATGTTCTGGAAAGGCTTCTCAGAGGATGTGGTGAGGTGGTGTGGGAGCTGTCTCACTGGAAAAGAAAAGCTGACCAGCAGGACGAAGAGGGCAGCATGGCAGAAGAAACAAAGTGTGAAGGTCAGGTCTCAGCTGACACAAGGCCTGGCGTGGGCACACATTAGAAGCGGTTGAAAGCCTAGAAAAGCTACCGAAGCCTTGTTTGTTGAGCTAAGTAGATAAGATTTTATTTTAGCATGATGGGAAAATTTTGAGGAGAGAGAAGTTCATTTACGGTATTTAGAAAGACTGCTGTTTGTGGTTTACCGAGCGGTGTCCCAAGCCTGCTTGGACCCATATCCTCACTGCGACCAGAATCACCCGATCATGTTAACACTTCTCCCCACGCCCATCCCCCACCCCTGCCCTGGGAAATCCTTCAATGGATTCCCATTCTTTCTAGGATAAAGAACAGAACCTTCGATGTGGCCCACACAACAGCCCATGACCATCCCTTGGCCCCCAGCCTCCTCTCAGGCCGTTTCCTTCCGCTCCCCTGCCTCTTGCATGCCTACCACGAGGTCTGCGCATGTGCAGATCTGTCTACACACTGTGGGAAACCTTCCCCCTCAGATCTCAGCTCAATCACACTTTTAAAGGAAGCCTGCCCTGTCCCCTAGAGTAGGTCATCTTTTGCTAAACTGTCCCAGAAAACGGTCTTTCTTCAAAACACATACTCTTGGTGGGACTACTGTAATAATTTCTGCCTCACTCATTAGAAAGTAGGCCCCGTGAGAGCTGGGACCATGCGGGAGGCCTGGCACATATCAGGGGCTGATCAGCATTACCGAGTTAAGTACTAGATAAAATATAAGCTGGAGTAAGTATGCAGGTGGAACACAAGACTTCTGCAAGAGAGCACACGAAAGATCACAAGAGCACAAGGCCTGAACGACGGAGGTGGTCGAGGTGGTACTGTTAAGGTGGAATACGCTTGGTAAGCAGAGTCAAAGACTATATGTGGATGCTTATAGCCTGAACAACTGAGTGAAAAGTAGTATTATTAATAAAAATTTGGAATACAGGAGGGACAGCAGGTTTGGGAGTAAAGAGAAGAAACTGAGTTCTAGATAAACTTAGATTTCTGTGACAGATACAGGTAGAAAGGTTACTAGGCAGCTAAAGCCTAAGCCTGTAACTCTCTGCAGGGAGACCTTGCTTAAAGATTTGGGACTCTCTATTCACAGGCAGAAGCTATGGAAGCTATAGAAGTACATACAACATCCATGGAGAGTGTACAGTGTTTGCAGATAAGGACATCAGACCACGGAGTGGGCAGAGAAAAAGCTGGCGGCAAAGCAAGAAGTGATCAGAGAAGCAGAGAGAGAATGAAGACAGCCTGATGCCCCGAAAGCCAAGGGGGAAACATTTCAAAAAGGTGTGGTTAATAAAGTCAAAAGTTTCACGAGAGATGTGGCAGGAAAAGAGTGCGACTGACTGGACAATTTAAGCGGACAACATTGGTCATGCCTTGAGGAATTCCAGCAAAGCAGTGAGAACGAAAGGCACATCGCGGCACACTGCAGAACAGAAGAGGAACAACATGGTACCTCGTGACAGATGCCAGGTCAAGATTTATGTTGTTTTGATGATGGGAGAGATTGCGCTTGCAGTGGGTGTGGGGAACCAGGAAGGTGCCAGGGAAAAGGGAGCAGTTAAACACATAACAGGATAATGGATGGAAAGATCTGGTAGGAAATGAAATGTAAGGATAGAGCTAGAAGTTGATCGAGCAGTTTTCCTCTTAGACTGGGAAGAAGGTAATAATGGATGAGAAAAGTTCAAAGGGCAGGAAGCTGAAGAAATTCACATGTGACAAACTCTTATTTTCCCTGTGGAAAAAAAGCAACTCATCTGTGCAGCAGAGTTGGGGACTTGAATGATGAATGTTTATATAGTTCTTTTAGGGAAAGGGGCTGGCCAGGGAAAAGTAAAAAGGTCACTAGGCATTACTGATGTCTGAGGTTAGAAATCTTTGATTGGTAATAATCTATCAGCCTGAGTGTATGCCTTTCTCTTGCAATCCATGATGGAGAGGCACAGAAAATGCAGATGGCTTGCTGGATCCATGGTTGGATATCTGCAAGGTGAACAGAGAGAAAGACCGAGAGAAAAAGGAGCTGAGGGCCTGGGAAGAGTGTGGCCAAGCGAAGTCTTGCAGGAAAGGCACTGCAGTGAGGGGGCTGACACACTGGAGAAAAGGAAAGGGGGCCAGGGGACCGTAAGAGCTTGGACTAGCTGGAGAGCTGGCGCACGAGCAGCAGAATGAAGGGAGCTGAGCAACAGGTAAGCTGTGGCTGAGCTCTACACTGGAATTCGGGATCTGGAAATAAGGCAGGCCTGCGGGACACAGTGCCGGGTATGACCACTGAAGCAAGCTGCTTAACTGCGGTAGGTATGTAAAGGTCACTTGAACAGAAAAGGCCAGTAAGGCTTCTTGTTACAATGTGGGTGGTTCACACGACATGTCAGAGCAGAATGATGGCATGGATCTCCAGGGTAACACTGCTTTCATGCTGTTATTTTACTAAAGTTGATTGATTACTAAATTCCATTTTTTAATATCTTTCTTTAGATTTCATATATAAAAACATAAATACACACACATATACCACACCTCTGTTTCCAGTTTGGAATATGAGGCTACTGCCACCACAGCTAAGACAATTTTTTTAAGAGTTGCTTACAAACCAAGTGATATTCTTCAAAGATAAATTTAATATCAAATTCCAAAAGCAAAAAAAAAAAAAAAATCAGATTATCCTTTTATGCTAGGCTTCACATAAAATTAAAGTCTGGCCTCCAGCTAGTTTAGCATGTGAATTAAGTAGAAAAGGAAAAATACAAACTACACGCTTCAAAAAAGTTTATAGAAAGATGAAATCAGTGATCATGCTCCTAGCCATTGCTAGACCCCTAAGCCTCACACTGCAAATAGTACTGCTCTAAACTAATTTTTACAATTAATCAATAGCAAGACAAATTAGAATAAAATATACTACAGAAATCTATAATGCACTAAATTACCAAGTTTATGACAGTTCTGGACATTTATAGCACTGTTCTCTATTTACGAGAAAAAAAATGAGACTTATTCACCACAAACTCTAATGAACTGTTTAATTCTATGTTATATGCAACATCATGAATGTCATATTTCTTTAATTAAGGAGTCACCAGTGGGGTTTGGTATTTTTCCTTGTCACACAGAGAGCTTAACTATTTTGTACTTGTTAGAGGTTGAGGTGACTACTACACTGACTGGGTGCCTGAAAGATAAAAAGACAGTTTCTGAATATCAAATTCCACTGCTCTGTGAGCTTTTATAAAATTACGTTCTTAAAAAAAAGAAAGGTTTGCATTAAGTCATGCTTAAAAATAAAGCAAACCTCTCAAACTGTTCCAAGATAGTTGCAATTTTAACTGTCTCCCAAACCTGCATGGTCCACACAACCTAGACTCCTGAATATCTGGAAAGTAACTCACTTCCACACGAAAATATTCCTCTTGGAAACCCCTAACTCCTCTTCTATAGCCTCATTTTTGAAAACTTTCCAAGCACCTTTCCATTGTTTGACTGTTCAACTTTTCCTAACTCAAATATGAAGCCATTAATTATAGATCATGATTTGCCTTATGTGGATAGATGCTGACTAACACTAAAAACATGATTTCAAAATTCATAAGCAATTTTTGGTAACATGATGTATCCTGGAAATTAAACTCTTACATTTCCCCAAAACAGACTGCTACTTCATCAATCTTTTCGGTACACATAATCTCTTTAGATGCTAACTGCTGGGCCATTCTCTCACATAAAAATGTTATCTTGTATTTTCCCACTTTGATAAATTATCTAAGGAATAATAAGTGTGTATTATGGCATGTCTCCTGTAAGCCAAGCACTGAACTAGGCATTATACATATTTAATTCTCATTATACATAGTTAATTCTCAGAGTAAGCCAATGAGCCTCATTTCACAGAAAAGGAAACAAGTTCTGAGAAGTTACATGACGTGTACTAGGTCACCAGTTAACGAACTGTAAAAGCCCTGACTTGAACATGAAATCCTTAAACTCTACCACCTATGCTTCTACAGTATATCTATATTAATTCTGCATTTTGTCTAGTAACACAGTATCTGTTATTGCTTTGTCAGTTTCACATACATCCCCTGACATTTCCTCAGTATATTTACATAAAAGGCTTAACAGTTCACTGTAAAAATATCAACTTCTCTATTATTCTACCACAAATACTGTCATTCTATAATTATGTTAACTTTGAGATTCAGCAGCAATTATTTTAAAAATCAAATAGCAAAACTAGCCTAGTCAATTTTTCCCATACGTAGATAACATTCTTTCAAATCCTAAAACTTCAACATATGGTAAAATGTACAACTTGTACAAACTTCCCTCTTCTGTATATTACATTTTCTTTGAACTGACTTAAAAACTTCTATTTAGATCTTTGTTGTCTACTTAGATTTACACATTTTACAGATTTACATAAAAGTGAAAATCCAATCACTGTTAAAAAATTCATTAACATCTGAGACAAGGTACAGGTGGTGAACTTCCCTAGAAATGTGATAAGAGAATGTGAAATTTTACATAAAAGCAAAATTATACCGTTGCTTAGTGTCACTATTTCTGATTTATAGTCCATTTCATTCAAAGCACTGCAAACATGCCTTGCAGGTGATATTAAATATTACTCCCATATTATACTTTTAAAGTCAGGAATTCTTATCATGTGGAGACAAGTTATAGCAAGTTTTACAGAACTGTTGAATATATTGTATATACAAAAGTATTACTTCTAACATCAAAGCAGAAAGTATAAATATGAAATTCAGAAAGTGAGTACAAATGTTGAGCACTGCACTTTTAATAATATCATAAATTCATATACTACTTTATAAACCAGATGCCTTCACACAGTATCATCTGTTATCTTTTCCACAGTGGCTTTGAGATTATCACAGGTGGTGTCTGTTATTTCCTTAGATAGAGCGGAAAAACTTAGATAGAGGCTTGGCCCTGGGTCACTCAGTAGGTAAGCAGCACAGGCCCAGCCTAAAAGAAAGCATGCATCATCTTTAGTTCCCTCTTACTATACCTACTACCCGCCTCCTTAGCAGCGGACTAAGTGCACATAAACGACACTATCAGGAATTTTAAAAATCTATATCTAGATTTAGAGTAGCACATTTAAAATATTAAGTTACCTAATAGTAACACTTAAAAACCCACATGGACTCCATTTAAAAATTTTATTCCTCTTTTGGTAGTCACTGGCAGTTTCATTCCAACAGTTTTTCTCAAGGATTCTCAATGTCACTCATTCAATAAATATTTTTTTAAAGCACTCCCTACACCCCAGGCACTATTCTAGGCACTGGAAACAGACTAGTAAAAACCAAAAATTTCTGCCCTCACTGAGGTTACATTCCAGGAGGCGGGGAGACAGACAATAAATAAGTAAAATAATCAGTATGTTGGAAGGAGTATAGGGGCTATAGAGAAAAAGGGAAAGATAAGGAATAGGCGTGTGTATTGGGGAGCGAAGGAAAGAAAATAGAACGACGTTACGCGTTCACCTTGCAAAGTTTATTACCCACATTCAACAGCTGTTAAGTCACCAAAATACTAGATACGTGGGAAGAGAATTTACACACTCCTGACACTGCCAACCTCTCATACTTCAAGAATCAAAAAGAAAATTAAGTCGACTCCCTGACACTGCTGTTCAGAATCTCGATTTATGTTTCAGATCTTGTTCCTTTAAGGAAAAAGCGAGCGTCAGGGCAAAAAGTTCGGCAACTGGCTGGTAATAATGCCAGGCTGGGAGACACGAAGTCAAACCATCGGTGTGGCTCCGTGTGCCCAGCCCCGCGGCCAGCACCCCAAACTCTGTCCTACCAGCCCCCCGC